CATAAATTTCCAAGGGAGAACCATGTGTTTTTTCCATTTCAGAAACAGATTTGTCTAACTCTTGCTGCATTGTACATAGAATTATATTAAAAGTAAATTAAACAAGAGAAATTTTTCTGTTAAGAATTAGAAAATATAAAAATGTTACCTTTTATATTACCATTTTTATGATAATTTTATGTTTATCATTCTCTCAAACAATGAAAAATCATGGCAGGTTTGTCAATGTTATAATCCTGTTACATAGTAAGTATTTAGTGGATTTCGTTGAAGGAAGGAACTAATTAATATAATTCTGAAACAATTTGAGGTTTCTTGCCTTTAAAAAGTCTATTTTCATCGCTTCTTGGCCTTTTGGCTAAGATCAAGTGTAAAAAGTCTATTTTCAACATAGTAAATTTGTTACAAGGCATGTATTCAATTTAAAAGCACTTCATATAAATTTTTTTCAGGTTACTTATGAGTAGGGGCCCAGTGGAGAGAATAGCAATGAGCTGGGAGTTCAAAGTCCTCCATTCTAAGCCAGACATCAATATTAAATGATAGAATGGCCTTGGGAAAGTGACAGCTCTGCTGGATTGCAGTTTCCACATGACTGAGTGATTAATTGAGAGTCTAATAGTCCATGCAACTTCAAAATTTCACAACTGAGTAGTTCAAATGAAGGAATTGGGACCTAAATTTAATAAACACTGATACGGTACCTACTATGTCCAGGTAATATTATGAATGCTTTATGAAGTTTGTAGTGATATAATAATTGTAATCACACATAGACCATGCATGGGGTAGCATTTCCAACACTATAAAGTATAAGCAAATAAGAGTTCTTATTAAAATAATAGCAATTTTCCTAAAATTTTACATAGTACAAGTCATTAAGAAACCAGAATAGAAATAAAATATTACTCAGAACTGAAAACAATATAGCAATGAAAACAGCTATTTCATTCTACACCACTAAATAAAATATGTATGGCTGCAATAAGTGATCTAATCTTTATTTGACTTGAGAGACTACACTAGGGTACATATAACTTCATTATCAGTCTCATGGCAAATGATTTGGCTGTCATAAACTTGAATGTTCTCACACATATTAAATCATGTAGAAGAAAGATTTTGTGAAGACATTCTACCAGTATTACATCGTAATATGATATTTTTTATTAAAGTTTTAAGTGCACACTTCGTTTTAGGTCGTATGCTCATAGTTGTCCGTAAAGCTTCTAAATACCACAGAGGCATATTTTATGTACACAGTGATCACATGATTACCTGTAAACTTAGAACAGAAGGAAATGCAGTGAAATAAAATTTGATTGGAAAGCTACCTAACAGGCTTCAGTTCCCAGGCCTGGTTGCAGTAGTCGAAACCTCAAACTGAAGGGCTGGAAAGGCCACGTCTTGTTATGCTGTGCAGATTCTTGTCTTGTTATTTTGACAACTCCTGCCAGGACTCTAAGCATTTTTGTCCCATCCCCCAACTCATTATTTCTACTACTTGTCCTTTAATGCCAAATTCAGACACCACCTTCAAGTCCCCCCCAACCTGCGTGGAGGGGTGGACCAAGGTCCCATCTCCATGCTTCTGAAAATCTCTAACATATTTCTGTTATTCACTCTTCTGTATTGAATGACATTATTGGCCCATAGCCCTTGTCATGTAGTGAACTATGAGCTCCTTGAGAACAGGAACTGTGTTTCATTCATTTTCAGATCCCCAGAGTCTTGCAATACCATATGACATAAATAATATGCTTAAGAAATGTTTGTTAAGTGGATGAGTGGATGGGTGAATAACAGCAGCTGTTATTATAGTTTGTACCCCTGGATTTCCTTTATGCATTATAATTTGGTCAGAAGCTGTAGTGAGAATTGACTGTGTTCCAAGGGAATCAGTGGAGTGAGAGATGTATTTATTTTGCATTTATGAAGTGTGTTGATCAACAATTTGGTTTAGTTCATTCTTTTTTCCTTCTTTAATCTGAGAATAGTAGAGAAATTTGGGGGAAATGAAATATAATTTTAAAAAATCAATTCAGTAGATATTCAGGGAACATCTTCTATCCAAGATGCTATGAAGTCTAACAAATTAAGTTCTTACCACCATGCCCTTACATTGGCAGCACTGTATAAACAGCTCAGTAAGGTTTCATAACCTTGGTATAGCTGTGTCTCACAGCTGTGTTTGCATTGATGTGTGATGGATGGTGACTTGCTGAGTGGCATTCATTATTGCTGTTTATGATTTTGTATGCCATCACAAGAATGTCAGAACTTGAACTAGAGCAATGAACAAACATTAAATTTCTTGACAAACTTGGCAGGAGTGGGAGTGAAATAAGGGACATATTAGTCCAAATTTTGGTGGATAATACCTTGAAGAAAATGGCAATGTACAAATGCACTAAATGTTTTTCCTAGGGGAGAGAAAACATCACTGATGAAGAGAGACCAAGGTGGCCAGTAACAAGTAGAATGGATGAAAACATTGCAAAAATATGTTGAATTGTGTGTCAAAATCATCGGCTGACTGTGAGAAGCATAGCAGACCAAGTAAACATCAATAGAGAAACAGTTAGGAAAATCTTTTTTTTTTTTTCTTGAGACAGAGTCTCATTATGTTATCCTCATTAGAGCACTGTGGTATCACAGCTCACAGCAACCTCAAACTCTTGGGCTTAAGCTATTGATTCTCTTGCCTCAGCCTCCCAAGTATCTGGGACTACAGGTGCCCACAACAATGCCCAGCTATTTTTTGGTTGTAGTTGTCATTGTTTGGCAGGCCTGGGCTGGGTTCGAACCTGCCAGCTCCATTGTATGTGGGGTGCCCTAGCCACTGAGCTACAGATGCTGAGTCAGTTAGGAAAATCTTTACTGAAACTTTTTGCCAAAAACTCATAGCCCTTTCATCACATCAATGCACCAACTCACATGGCACTGTCTGTGAGGGAGTTCTTAGCCAGGAAACAAATAACTGTATTGGAACGTACTCCCGGCACATCTGATCTGGCCCCCAGTGACTTCTTACCCTAAAGGAAATATTCAAAGAAAGATATTTTGATGACATCCAGGATATTAAAGTTAATAGATGACAGTTTTGAAGACCATTTCAAAAAAAGAGTCCAAAATTGGGGTGGCACCTGTGGCTCAGTGAGTAGGGTGCTGGCCCCATATACTGAGGGTGGCGGGTTTGAACCTGGCCCCAGCCAAACTGCAACAAAAAAAATCTGGGCGTTGTCGTGGGTGCCTGTAGTCCCAGCTACTCAGGAGGCTGAGGCAAGAGAATCGCCTAAGCCCAGGAGTTGGAGGTTGCTGTGAACTGTGACGCCACCCTACTCAGGGTGATAAAGTGAGACTCTGTCTCTACAAAAAAAAAAAAAAAAAGAATCCAAAATTGCTTTGAAGGGTGGATTAGGCACTGGCATTGGTACATATCTTCCCAAGGGAGTACTTCAAAGGTGACCATAGTGATATAATGAGTGATAGCAATGTGACTATAGTGATAGCAATGAGTTAAAAAGCACTTTTTCTAGGATGAGTTTGCAAACTTAACTGTCAGCCCTTGTATGTCTCCTACAAGGAGGTTTTAGTTTAGATATTTAAGAAAGTCACATAAATGAAAAAACAAGACACATGATATCAAAGAGATCAATGTTTACGAAAATTGAGAGAACATGTGATAAAGGTCACAGAGATGAAGAGGTAAATTTGCTGGGTTCCTAAAAAGCCCCCACTAGGCAGGAGAGCTGGATTGGGCTGTTGGCTCACAGCTTTCTCTCAGCTATAAAGGTTCTGGTCCAGAGAAGGCCAAGTCCAAGGAGACTGCTACACACACACACACACACAGACACACACACAAACCTTATTAGAGCTTGAAAAAAACAAAAAGACCAATGGCTCGTGAACTGGAAAATTAATTATGAGTTAAACATAGGCTCAGAGTAAGGGGAGCTGAGTGGCCCTGTAGATGCTTCAGACACACAGCACAAAGGTGCAAGCCAGATTTCCAATACAGCCGTTCTCTCCAAGTACAAAGGCCAGATCCAGTATTTCCCCTTTTAAAGAAAGTGTTGGATAAATAAAGGATCTGGTGGAAACAGGCATATGCCATAAATGATAACTGTCACAGGATTTCAGAAGCTTAAAAGGTGACATTCAGTCATGAGGATCAAGGGAAGCTTTATAGGAGAAGAGGAGGTCCAGCAAAGTCATTGAGATTACTTAGAATTTGCAACTATGACTTGGGGGAGAACGTTGTACACTGGGGGGAACAGCAGGAGCGAAGCAAGTGGTTCACTTTTGCTGGAATACAGGGCTTGCAGTGGAGAGTAAGTAGAATGTTAGGAAGGAAGGCTGGAGCTAGATCATGGAGGGTCTTGAAGGCCCCCTTCGAAGTTTAAATGTTACTTTTTGTGTAGTGGGGAGTCATAACAGAAAGAACATGATTAGGACTGTACTCCAAGAAAATTAATTTGATTGCAGTACGTGAGTTGGCTTGGAGGGTAATCCAAGATTCAGAGTCAGAGGTCCTTGGGAAACTATGGAATCTACATGGAAGGGCTGAAACGAGGATAGTATTGGTGCAGGTGGAGGAGAGACTGGAGGCACATTCCAGAAAGTAAAGTGTGTTTTCCTTACACACACACTCTCCAAAGTAAAATGCAACCTATAACCTATATGATCCAAATACAATATAAAAGAAAATCTGTCCTCATTTTTATGAAATTCTCCATTTATGTAGACAATCGCAAAGTCATTGATCCATTTAGCCAATTTGATTGATTTTTGGATCGCCTGGCTATCAGCTTTCTTAAAAACTGGGATTTTCAAAGCACCAGCACAGTGGATAACCATAGTTAGAGTAACAGCTTAAGGGAAAAGAAAATGAATATCCTACGAAAAGTAAATGTTCTTCTCTCCCAAAATGTCTGGGTGATTTCTCCAAATAGACTTTCTTCCGAATGCTTTCTAACATTCGCCAATCCAACTGACAGGAATGTTGCAGAAAACAGAAGCAGGAGCTGTGTGAGAAGTTTGATTACCTATATGGCATTCTGGAGGAGAGGAAGAATGAAATGACCCAAGTCATCACACGAACACAGGAGGAGAAACTGGAACATGTCCGTGCTCTTATCAAGAAGTATTCTGATCATTTGGAGAATGTGACGAAGTTGGTGGAGTCAGGAATCCAATTCATGGATGAACCAGAAATGGCGGTGTTTCTGCAGGTAGGTCTCTTTCTGGCACCAAGGAAACAACCCAAAAGGTAGGTGGAAAATTATTTATCACATCCTCATTATTTTATATACATTTCATTATTTAAAATCTATTTTGCCAACTAAAACATAAACCTCCTATGCACTTGTATCTCCATCTATTTTAACAATTCAATAAATATTTCTGGCATGGCATAAATGTAAGAGGGTTCAGATATAAAACAGCGGTTATTTGTGTTAGAAAACTTAGAAACTAAGCTATGAGATTCTCAGAGTCAGCAAAAGAAATGATTGCCTCACCACCGTCTTCGATGCAGAGAATTTAAGTAAGCCTATTTTTTTTGCTTTCACAGAATGCCAAAACCCTGTTACAAAAGTAAGTCATTTTTATTTTATGGAAAAATGCATATTTTCACTTTTACCCAAGGCTCTTGAATTTTAAATAGTGACCAAAAGTGGCAACTTGTCTTTGTTGCAGAATCTCTGAAGCATCAAAGGCATTTCAGATGGAGAAAATAGAACATGGCTATGAGAACATGAACCACTTCACAGTCAACCTCAATAGAGAAGAAAAAATAATACGTGAAATTGATTTTTACAGAGGTTTGTTATTCTTGACCATTTGGCCAAAGTTGCAGGTGTGTGAGAGCTGTAAAAGAGTGAGGTGGGAGGAAAAGGGGGGATTCAGAATCACCTCCGGAATTGATGTCGACAACTTTACAAGAATCTTAATCCAATGTGAAGCTCTGTTTCATAATAGGATTATGTAATGTGTTGACAGCATGTGTTTAGTTTTGCATATTATAGTGCCTGTTTGGATGCCATTATCGGGCATTTGACTCTGGGTAGTCAAACACTTAATTGATGGTGATGATGATACATCTCAACCTCAGCCTTCCACAAACTGTTAGTTACTATGATATAATGTGTGGTCAGGAGCAAGGTTAAGGATGAGATAAAAATAAAACACAGATGACATCTAGGCTAGATATTATAGCACATCCACTTAAGCAAACTTTAGAAGACAGGAATAACACAAGTCAAGAGTAAGTCACAGTCTGGAAATAAAGCTGGGTCTATGTGACCACATGTAGTCCACGGGCTAGAAAAGCATTCCTACCCTTTGGCCCAGAAATCCCAGTTCTGGAAATTTATCCTGATGAAGTAATTGAAAAGAGGAAAATAATCTTGGAGCTAGGCAAAACTTGGTTCACCTCAACTTATCCTAGCCCATCTAGGTGAACACACCGCTCAGCTAGACCATAAATAACGCAGAGAGGCTGTGCCAAATGTTCACTGATGTTGTTTTAGGGGTAAATCTTTGGGATGGATTTTTTTTTAAAGTATTACTTACTTAATATATTTAACCTTAATGTTGCCTGAGAGAATATTAAGATCTGTGGGTTTGGGAAAGAGTCAGGGCATTAATTGTGGCAAAGCTTAGTCTTCACTGTACAAAGGAAGGAAGAAATTAAAATGGGACCAGAGTTGTATGTTTCCTGAGTTATGGAAGAGTTGCCTTTCCATTTAATTTGACAGAGATAACTAAGTGGCAGTCACAGCCGTCCCAGTGCTTACAGATGTGGCAGGCTGAAAATGTGATCAAGCTTTGTGTGTGAGGGGGTGAGGTAGATGGTGCTCTGTGGGGGGAAGACTTTGTCCTGAGAAGGAGAGTGGGAGGACGGGGACAGTCTCTTGTTCTGTCCACCCTTCACTAGCAGCGCAAAGCCCCAGCACAACACGCACGGACCATTGTACAGGGTCTGTTGGGAGGGACTGCCCTAGCCTGACCTTAAGCTGGCCGTTAACTGTTTCCATGACTGTGCTGGTAGTTCTACCATTTAAATGATGCCTTACCTTACCAGAAGAGGAAGAGGAAGAAGAAGAAGGAGGAGAAGGAGAAAGAGAAGAAGGAGAGGAGGAAGGGGAAGTAGAAGTGGAAGAGGTAGAGAATGGTCCAACAGTGGCTCCAGGAGAAGATGCAAGTCTGGGGAGAGCCTTGGAGCCCTCTCAGCTGTCCTCGGAGCTGCAGGCTGCCACGGGGGCACTTCCAGCTTCCTCTCCAGAGCCACCTCCAGCCCTGCCACCTGCTGCAGACGCCCCAGTGACGCAGGTAACCAATCCCGAGTCCTTCCTACAGGACACATGGGTGTACGCCTTGCTGAACGACCTAAAGAATGTATTTGTTTTACCTTAAGAAAAAGGTAACTATATGTTAGACATGTGTGTGGGGCAGACAAAAGAGTTCAGATCAGTCACAATGTCAAGGAGAAAGGTCTTCCAGGTGATTCAGGAAGTTTATTGTTGTTCTATCTGGTTGACAAGACTTAATTGACCGCAGTACAATTTTCCCATCAATCGTACTCTCAAATCTGAGGCAATCGTAGTCTGGAAATTTGTGTGTGCATATGTGAGTGTGTGTGTGGGTTTAACATGTTAATTCACAGAGAGCCAGCACCATGAGGATTCTCTGCTCTTTGTTACTTAGTGAATACAAATATGGGGTGTAAGGTGAGAGATGGCACAGGATACAGTGTCAGAAATAGAAGTGACTAGATGTTTAGAACTTTAGATTTTGTATAGACAGTAGAAGAAGGAGAGCCATTACCCTGGCTTATGTCCCTTTTGCCGACCCTGAAATACAACAAGCAATGAAGCCTGGTTTTCTATGTATTTGATGAGGTTGTGTGTTGACAGAATTGTTAAAAACATATCAGGAAATCAGCTCAACCCAGCTTGACTTTATGCTGTTAGATGTCACTGTCCAGTTCTCGAGCCTTCATGCTAACTCTGTGACACTTCGGCAGGCAGGATCTCCACCTATTGTATTTGTGGGCAATGCAGACTCAGCAAAGAGAAACCCTGGTTTTGTGCCTGCTTTCAGAGTGGATTGAAACCATCTACAGAACCAAAAATCCAGAGGGGAGACTCAGAGATGGAATTGTATTTCTATGCTCTGTTTCCACAGGAAACCAGGCTAACATGCTATTTATAGTTATAGTTCTTAGAATCTTGAAATTCTGGGAATACCCATTGCACTGAAATTGAAAGAGGTATAGTAGCTAAATGAGGGTGGGATTTGATCAGTGAGATTAATTTGGGGGACCCACACAAAATGCCCACAAATTAATTCTGGTCAGTACTTGGGCTTTGCTCCCAGGTTTTCTATTTCATAAGCAACTTTGACTTGAAGCTGCCACCCAGTGAAAGACATATCCAGAGGCCAGACCCAGGGCCACAGCTGTCAGCTCTACCCTCAGCACTTCCCGAGGGTGGGATAAAGTAAAACAGGCACTAAGTCAGGCCCTGCAGACAGAGAGCTCAGGGTTCAAAGCTGAAGGAACTAAAATC